GCGGTTTGCCGACCACTGGTGTAGCCGGATGACAATCTAAACTGAGCTATCCAGCCAGGGCTCCCAGCCAGTTTTTTACTCAAATTACTTCAGTAAATCTTTTCAGAGATGATAGTCTATAAACCTGAAATGTTAACATTTTCCATTTATGAGAGAGCTTGTCTCTCACAGTCCCTGACTGCTCCTGTCCATCTTGGTCCACTACCCTTCCTTACCTCACAAGCACACAACCCGACCTCACCCTCAGGCCCACACACCACGCCATGCTGACCTGCGTTTCCGATTCTCTCTGGGCCTCCAACTCAACAGACGCAGGTGCATCTCGGAAGCCGAACCTCTTAAAGTGGAAAGAGATCTTTTCATGCCGCTCCTGAAACTTCCTTAGCATGTTCTGATGCCCGAGGCTCACCAGGGCCTCCCACCCATCACTCATGGCCTTCTCATACCTTCCTCCAGCCCCTGCAACACTCCCATCTTCTCCACCAAGGACCCCAACGTTACCATTGGGATATGGTTAGTCCCACCATAAGCTAAAAATAGTCAAACCCAGGTTCCCATGAGTGCCCAATCCAACACCAACCGGGCCCTACCTATCCCTCCGACACCACCCGCTGTACGGCATTCGCACCCCCCTTGCTCTCTCACATCCGCTGCGTCTCCATTCACAGTCTCTGCTTGCTTTCACCTGGGAATGCCGTCAGGACACACGGACGGATGGTTACGCCTCAAGGTTCCACTGAAGTCCCTGCTTGCTTTTCTCGGACTCTAAATGCTCATGTGAAGGGTCTGGTTTTTCCTTGCAATTCCTCTCTAACCCCGGATGTGGGTGGTCTTCCTGTCTGCTCCGTTCATTTCAACAAGTCACTGACGCTCAATATCTACTCCCAAGCCCTTGCTCCTAGGGACACAAGGAATCTAGGAACATATCACCACCGTGTCAGTCACAATTCAGGACATGACCTTGCACCTGCAGGTAAAACCTTATCCGCAGCGTGCATTTAGCCCATCATTAATGTCATCTTTACCCAGGACTAAAATGCAACTGCAATGGTCTGGGCCTGATAGGGGTTGAATTGTGTCCTCCGTACCCCCACCTCCCTGAAAAAGATATGTTGAAGTCATCCAATACCTCAGTGACCTCATTTGGAAATAGGATCATTGCGGATGGTTTGAGCATTGTCCCACATCCCTCCTCAAAAACTCCTCCCAACTCCATGCGCCACTGTTGCAGGAACGCCTTCCTATTCCTACCATCTACTAGTAGGAATCGGGATTTCTCTGTTTCTTCCACAACTTCCCAAATGGCCCCTTCGTGGGACTCAGTTTGTAATCACTGAACTTTTTAAAAAATATTTTTTAAATTGATTTTTAGAGAGAGAGGAAGGGAGAGAGAGAAACATTGATGTGAGAGCAAAACATCAATCTGCTGCCTCCGATATGCCCCGACTGGGGATCAAGCCCAAACCCAGGCATGTGCCCTGACCGGGAATCAAACCAGCAACCCAATCAACTGAGCCACACAGGCCAGGACAATCACTGAACCTTTTAAAAAAAAAAAAATTTCTTTATTGATTTCAGAGAGAAAGGGAGAAGGAGAGAGAGAGAGAAACATCAATGATGAGAGAGAACCATTGATCGGCTGCCTCCTGCACACCCCCCACTGGGGATCGAGCCCGCAACCCAGGTATGTGCCCTTGGCCGGAATCGAACCTGAGACCCTTCAGTCCGCAGGCTGATGCTTTATCCACTGAGCCAAACCGGCTAGGGCGAATCACTGAACCTTTTATACAGTAAATGACACTGTAACAACCCTAATGGCTTTGAATCCACCTCCTCATCGAATTCACCCAGGTTTTCCAGCTTTCAAAATATTACCCATCCTCCTAAGTCAGCTGATGCCGCGGACAATCTCTTTTGGTGTCAGTGGCATTGCTCCCTCTTGTGACTCATCTCATGGTCGCGGTGTTGTCCCTGCATCTTCTCCTTGGTTTTCCACCTCTCATCAACCTTTGTTTTTTGACCACTCAAATTAAAAGGACAATTATCTCCATGAGACTTGGATCTCCCTCAACGGCGCATACTTCCTGTGTGTGAATTTCGCTGACTGCTGTCTACCTACCAGCTGGACTGCCTCCTGTGATCTTGCCCAAATGTAAGCCCTTATCCGAGTTTTGATGCCCCTAATTCCATCATACGCACGTTTCACTCGTTCTCCTCTCAAACCACAAACTCCTCACAGATGTAAGGATCCCGCGAAGGCTGAAAATCACCGTGTAGACAAGATCCAGGCTGACTGTGATCTCCTTTTACAGCAGGATCCAAAGAAGCCGTGGGACAGGAAACCAGGTGCCTGGGAGTGAACTCCGAGGATTCGGCATGGCCTCCACCATATGTGGGCAACTTCTGTGCCCAGGTTAGGGGCTGCCAGGGGAGGGACTTGCGGGCTGTGGTTGGCAGCAGTGCTGCAGGTGTATTTCCAGGAACTCTGCAGGCATCGGCATTACCAATAAGAACATCTCGAGGCCGAAAAGGAAATCTGCAGAATTGCTACCACTTTTCCAACTCCAAGCGGCTCTCTCCACCTCCTTCTCAGAACCCTCCCAACTGGCAGCCCTCTGGCTTCAAAATGTAGTTTTACTCTTTAATTCAGTGATTTTGATTTCTCTTCCTAGGAACACCCATCGTCAAAGGCCTGCTAGACCAGAACCCTGAATCAGCTTGCGATCCAATAGTTCATACAGCAAATGGTGCAACCGGTCTTGCACAAACAACGGGGGTGAAAAACCCGTCCTGATATCACCCCAGACGCTAACTCCTGAGGAGGTCTCGTTTGAAAGTGAGCTCTCCAGATCCCCCTGTCATCGATCCCAGTCATCTCCCCACGTTGGAAAATTAAGGCCACTGAGGATAGATTAAGTCTGTCTTACGCAAGACGGAGATTGAGTAAAGTTTGTCTCCACTAAAGTCCAGACGTATGTTTTCCCTTTGGACTCTCAATTATTTTTTACTTATTTATCAGATCCTTCTGTGGCTCTTCATACCTGGAAGGCACCACTTCAAGCACTTGACAAATATGTCACTTAATCCCCATAACAACTCTAGGAGGTAGGCAGTATTCTGATGCCCAGTATACATATGAGGGGATTGGGGCACAGAGAGGTTAAGCAAGTTTCCTAAGCTCACACAGCTGGAAAGTGGTAGAGTTGGGGCTCTCTCGTGACAGTCTTCGCTCTCATTCTCTACTATTGCCTCTCCAGCAAAGGACCAGGAGGTCACTCATAAAAAGATGGAGGTTCTCACATGATCTTTTGGGCCCTGGCTTTTGTTGTTGTTGTTAATCCTCACCCAAGGATTTTTTTAAAATTGATTTTTAGAGAGAGTGGCAGGGAAGGGGAGGGACACAGGGAGAGAAACATCAATGTGTCTCATATTAATGGATTGCTTCTGGAGATGGAGCCTGCAACCCTGAAACATGCCCTTCACCGGAATCGAACCCGAGACCCTCCAGTTCGTGGGTCGACGCTCTATCTATCGAGCCAAACCGGGTAGGGCTGGGCCCTGGCTTTTAAGAAGTCAAGGATTGCCGGGACCGGTTTGGCTCGGTGGGTAGAGCGTGGGCCTGCGGACTGAAAGGTGCCAGGTTCGATTCCGGTCAAGGGCATGTACCTTGGTTGCGGGCACATCCCCAGTGGGGAGTGTGCAGGAGCCAGCTGATCGATGTTTCTAACTCTCTATCTCTCTCCTTTCCTCTCTGTAAAAAATCAAATATATTAAAAAAAAAAAAAAAAAAAGAAGTCAAGGACTGTCTGAAGAATGGGTGTGAATATCGGAGCTAGATCTCCTTGAAGATTGTAGGGACGCACACTAGGCGCAGTGACACAGGCTGGCCGCCCGGGGGCGCCGGCCCCGCTCGCGGAGCCTGGAGCGGGAGGAGGGAACCTCGGAAACAAATGTCAGGCTCAGACTGATCTCAGGACCACAGAACGCGGAGAACACAGCATCCTAGAAGCTGAGAACAAAGCCTCTTAGAACGTAGAACAAAGGGCCCTGGAATCGTAGAATGGTGAGCGCAGAGCCTCGCCGCATCTGGGAGACAAAAGACGCTTAGATTCTGTTCTGGCCGGATCATAGCGTCTCCACCCAGGTTCTTATGATTCCAGAATTTGGGATATAACCGATCTTAGACTCTTAGAAGCAAGACTGGCTTCGTAATTTGCGAGGCCCAATGTGAAATGAAAACGCGGGGCCCCTTGTTCAAAAATTAAGACTTTCAAGACAGTAACAGCAGAACATGAAAACTAAGCGCCTGGATCTTCTTAGCTGGCCGCATGCAGCTGTGCCCACCCCACTTAGAAGTATAATTTTATGGGAGGCTCTTGATCTTAGCTAGACTGGCCCTCTAGTTTTACAGCCGAATGTCTGGGAAGGCTTCGTGGAAGAGGAGGCAAAATGAGGGCTCGACTCTTTAACCCTTTCCTCCCCCTGCTCAGCCTCAGAAGCTGAAGGTTGCGAGGAGTTGAGGGGAAAGGAACATCTGCCAAACCGTCACTTGGACCCGTTCTCTATTTATAGAACACCTCTTTCCCTGCTGCCAGACCGTCCAATGGTAGCCAGAGCTCGCCCGCAAGGGGGCGGAACCCGCTGCGGGAACGGAGAAGCACGGACCAATGATATTGGAATAAGGGCGGGCTTGTTTCATTGTGACGCGTGGGGGGCGTGGTCACGGACCAATGGCAGGCTAGCGTGGGGGGGCGTGGCGAGGCCACCAGAGAGCAAAGCAAGTAGGCAGCCGCGAAGCTGCGAGCATGCGTCGCGTGGAGGGAGTGGGGCGGCGCGTGAACGGCGGAGCAATAGGTAACGGTTGCTGTGTGGAAGGGGGCGTGGCCATGCAGATGAGACGCGGGTGGGCGGACCAATGGGCGGGCGCCTATGCAGATGAGACGGTGACAGCCGGGCCAGCAGGCGGGCGGGCGGGCAGGCGGGCTGTTGGGGCGGGGAGGTGGGACCGGCAGAGGGGTGGCCGCGGGGCCCGGCTGGGCTGGGGCGGGGGGCCGCAGCCATGATCCGGGCCTTCTCGTTCCCGGTGAGCCCCGAGCGGGGCCGGCTGCGGGGCTGGCTGGAGGGCAGCCTGGCCGGGCTCTGCGAGTTGCACTGGCTACGGGAGAGGCAGGAGTACCGCGTGCAGCAGGCGCTGCGGCTGGCCCAGCCCGGAATGGGGGGCGCCGAGGCCGAGGACGAGGAGGACGCCGACGAGGACGAAGATGCAGCGGCGGCGCGCCGGGCCGCGGCGGCCCTGGAGGAGCAGCTGGTGAGGGGCCGCCTGTCCGTCCCTCCCTCCCCCCGCAACCATCTGTGTCTGTCTGTCTGTCTGTCTGTCTGTCTCGGTTAGATGCTCATATACCCATCCCGGTGGGGGAGGGGGACGGGGGGAGGGAGAGGGGGTGGGGCTGCAGACCCTGGAGTCTGGGCGGCGGGCGGGATGTGGCCTCCCCACCCCCGAACTGGGGAAGGAGGCACTGCATCGCCCCTGCTGGAGCCCATAGAGATGCACGGGCCCCATCCCGTGCACCCCTTCCCCAAAGGAAATGTTTTTGGGCGCCAAGTATGTGTCAAGCCTGGGGACCAGTACTGGGCATGCGTTGTCTTTGTGCAGCGTGGATGATCAGAGGGGATAGTCCCCATTTTACAGAGGAAGAAACTGAGGCTCGGAGAGGGCAAACGACTCACCCAAGGTCACACAGCCGGGATCCAAACATGCCCCGCTCTGGGGCCCGGCTGCCAGGGCTCCACCTTCCCTAAGTCCGGGTGTGCTTGGAGATCTCCGGAGGGGCCGGACCAGGGGGAGGGAATCTTAGGGTCCCCCGGAGGGAAGCTCACAGACCCCGAGGACCCCACCGTGATCTTGACCCTCCGGTGGCACTTCCCCTCCTTTCCTACCTGGTCCCAACCCTGGTTAACCCAAGAGGAGGCAGGTGGAGGGGGCCATGGGGGTCTGACTTCTGGGCTCTGGGCGCTTTAATGGGGGAAGACGAGGCAGAAGTCTGCAGAATGACTCTCTTGTCATTCTCCACTCTCCCTCTCGTCATCTCTTGATTCTCGCACCGCTTCCTGGGCTCCTCGCACTCTCCCTCCTCATCTCTGCGACTGGCTGTGTGCTTCTGTCTCTCTGCTCTTCCCTTCTGCACCTCTCTTCCTGCCCTAGGTCCCCGTCCCTGTCTCTCTCTCTCTTCCCCTCCCCCCAGCCCGCCAGGCCCCAGACCCCAGCTCCCCGTGCAGATCCCATCCCCGAGCCTGTGGGTGGTCAGAGCTTCCCGTTTGGGGAAACCTGAGCCGAGGTGGCGGGGGAGGGGGCGCTCCCTGCTGCTGACCTCGACTGCCCCCACCCCAGATGGGGACTGGGGAGGGGACTGAAGCCAGACTCCCAGGCTGCACGCCCAGCCCCTCCCCGGGCCGGGAGTGGGACCCTGCACATTCCTTCTCTGGAAACAGAAACAGCTGTGGGAGGCCCCACCCCCTCCCAAAGTTAGAGACACATTGTGGGGGCCTTCACCAGCTCCTCCACCCCACCCCCGGCAGGCTGGGTTTGGGCAGGCGCCTCCCACCTCCACGAGGAGAGAGGAAGACATGGGGATGGGCAAGCTGTGTCCTTCCTCGCCTCCCTCAGTCTCTCCCTCTCTCTGCCTCAGTCTCCCCTCCCTTCCCCCTTCCCCTTCCCCATCTCTGCCTCTCAGCCCCCCCCCCCCCGCCCCCAGGCACCACGAGGTGGTAGTAGAGAGGCCTCTCCCCCCACCCATACCCATCTCACACACACACACACACACACACACACACACACACACACACACACACAGTCTCCAGGCGAAGCTCTGTCCCAGCTCAGGGAGGAGGCGGCAGGCAGGGGAGGGAGACAGCCCCGCAGAGAGGAGCGGAGAAGCGCTAAATATAAATCCCTCTGGTGTTAGGGGTTCCTGGGTCCTTCTGAAGAGGGGGTGGAGGTTTCTACTCACTCCTGAGCCTCTGTCTTACTACTTACCCCTCCCAGTCCCTTTGAAGCAAGAACACTGAAGCCAGACTTCATTAGTTTCTAATAATCATGATGGGGATGCAGGAACAGGGTATGGCAGAGAGAGCAGGCAAGAATCCTAGGGGGGGTGGGAGGGTCCTAGTCTCTCCCACCAAGGGAGAAGGTCCCCTTCCAGCAAGGAAGACTTAAGTTAGACTCGCAGAAGGACTTCCTAACGGAGATCAAGGGAGTTGGGCACAGACTAGGGGAGGAACAAAGGTCTGAAAAAGTTTGGGCAAAGGGGTTAGGTCTCCAGGAGCCCTAACCACACTCATGTTAAACCTGCTTGAGCTCGACACCCTCAAGCCCATTAGGCATTGTGGGCAAATGGGGAGCCAGATTCAGACCAAAGACCTTCTGGTCTTTTAAAGATTCATGCCTTTGCAGCTGAAAAGAATGAGGTCAGACTTAGAATAGACTGAGGGAGGGAGAGTTGGGGGGGGGGGCGTCCAGGCACAAAGAGGAGGCCTCTCCTTTCTGTCCCCCAAACTCCTGCCTTCCCTGCAGTGGCAGCATTGAAATTAGACCTGGAGAACTCACCAGCATTTATTTTTAATTACACAAGTAAATGTGATTTTATATTTTCCTTGTTGGAAATTCAGAGCTTTCATGTGACCATAAAAGCTAGCATTTCTTAAGTGCTTAACAGGAACTGCTGTTTTAACTCATTGCATTCTCACAACAACCCCATAAGAGAGGGGGTTGAAGGATGCCCTGTTACAGATGAGGAGACCGCGGTCCAGAGAGGTAAAGTGACCTGTTCAGGGTCACGCAGCTGGGAAGCGCCAGCGTTGAATCTGAACCCTGGTAACTAGGACCAAAACGATGCCTCCTCCACCACTTCCTTCTCCCAGCCGGGACCCTGATCCCTCGCTTGACTCCCTGAATGCATCCTCTCCCCTGAAATCACCTCTGGGCCACTTGTGCGTCCCTCCAGACCTCTCTGATGCATCTTCTGGCAGAAACGGTTTACATACCCAAAATATCAAGTTTTGCTTTGCTTTTGTACAAACTCCAGTGACGTAGTGGGTGAGGTCCCAGAGACGATGTCAGTGGTTTTCAAAGTGAGGCCCACTGGACTAGAGCATTACACAGGGACCGGTTAGCAATGCTATTTTGGGGGCTCCTGCCTGGAACCAGAAGTTCTGGAGGGATCCAGCAATTCGGGTTTTAACATGCTCTCCAGGTAATTCTGACCCACCCTCCCATTATACATCCTACCCTTCCCTTTCTCCCCTCAACGCTCTCATCTTGGGGATGGTTCCGTGCAGAAATGGCTTCCTTCCAATCTTCCTGTTGTATAGCATTCTGCTCTACACATTCATTCCTTCGCGGAAACTTTCCTGAGCACCTACTTCGTGCCAGCCACTGTTCTAGGCACTGGAGGTTGGGAAGGTGCAGGAGTGAACAAAACAGTTAAGTGTCTCTGCCCTCCAGGGCCTGACATTCTAGTGCGAGAGACAATAAACAAATGCCAGCCTGATCTATAACTTTAAGCCGGGAGGGCATTGCCGCTGTGTAGGGAAAAAGGCAGGGCACCCGGAGTGCAGCATGACAGGGAGCTATTTTGGAGAGAGGGTGGGAGCAGGGATGGGGTGAGCGAAGTTTCTGAATGAAGCAAGGGAATGAGGCAGAAGGAGATGCGGGGGACACATGCTCCTGAGGTTGGAACACGCCAGGCGTGTTCAGGGAACAGCGAGGCCAGTGTGGCTAGTGCAGTGAGCAAGGGGGCGACTAGTAGGAGGCATGACACGGGGCATGTGGGCAATTCTGATTTGTTTGTTAGCTGCCCCTGATGCTGCACAAACTTGCCTGCTTTTCTGGGTTTGGCTCACAGATGACGCCACCCTGAGCAACTCTGCACAGCCAGAGCAGGAGCCCAAAGTGGACTGTCTTGTTGCCTTTCTTGCCATAAACAAGCCCAGATGGGGGCTTCCGTTCGGGGGGCGGGGGGGAGAGTAGAGGGGGTGGGGCCCAGGAGAGCAGTCACCGGAGCGGGAAGCAGGGGGGAGGGGGTGTCTGCAACAGAGCTGGCCGGTCTTGCTGCCTTAAATAGGCAGCGCTGGGCGCCTGCCCTCCCCGCCCCTCCTCCCTCTTCCCCTCCCTCCCACCGCCCAGACAAGCCGCTTTTGTCTGAGGGTCAACCGTCAGCGCCCGCTGCTGCCACCTCTGGCCTCACCCAGACCCTGTGGGACTCTTCCCGGCTTTGGCCCCATTTCCCGAAATGGTGTTAAGTTCTAGTGTCTTAGAGACCCCAGTGGTGTCGGTTCAAGCCCTGCCCTCACCCACAGTCCCTGTCACACTCCCCTCAAAGCGTTTTCACCGTCATTTCTTCACACCTGATAGGAAATGGTCTCTTCCTGCAGCAAGAAGGGGCCAGGGTAGACTCCACAGACATTCCTTATGGGGATGAGGAGCGGTGGGTGGACACTGGGGGCTTGTGGGTGGGGAGGGAGCAAGAGCAGGAGGCAGACGTGGTCCCAGGGGTTAAAGGAACCACTGAGGCCAGGATGGCCTTGCCGCTAGGCACGGGGGTTCTTTCCGAAGTGAGGAGCAAAACATATGAGTCATAGCCCGCCAGTTTATCCCTGTGAGGGAAGGGGTCAGTGTGCACCAGAAAGGACTCAGGAAACTTGCAAAAGAACTTTCTATCGGTGGCAAAGGGGCAGTAGGAGGAGAGGAGAGCATCTGAGAAGAAAAGGTCAAGAAGGCAGACCAATGGCTAGGGCAGGGGTGGGCAAACTTTTTGACTCGAGGGCCACAATGGGTTCTTAAACTGGACCGGAGGGCCGGAACAAAAGCATGGATGGAGTGTTTGTGTGAACTAATATAAATTCAAAGTAAACATCATTACATAAAAGGGTACGGTCTTTTTTTCCAATAGTTTTATTCATTTCAAACGGGCCGGATCCGGCCCGCGGGCGGTAGTTTGCCCACGGCTGGGCTAGGGGATCTGCTAGGTCCTGGACCCCAACTTTTAGCAATGAAGTGCCTCTAAAGCAAGAAGAACTGAAGTTAGACTCAAGGGGGGACATTCTAATAGGGGTCAAGGGGCCACGAGCACAGACGGAAGAAGGCAGCGGGGAGGGGTGGGACCTAGAAGGGAGTGAGGTGGCTGCAGCGAGGACTGGGTTTAGCCAGAAGGACTTTCTCATGGATAAAGGGGCAGAGATCTTTGAAGGGGATCCTGGGACTGCGGTCCTGCTTTTACCCTTTTGAAGTCAGAGCCTCCTGGTCAAGGTGAAACTCTGCCCGTGAACTCCTGGAATAGGGGACTGGGACGGGCAGAGGCCTTGGGGGTGACTTCTGACCACCCTGCTCTTGCCACGCCCTCAGGAGGCCTTGCCCGGACTCATCTGGGACCTGGGCCAGCAGCTGGGAGACCTGAGCCTGGAACAGGAAAGTGGGCGCAGCTCAGGTGAGCATGGGTCAAGGGAGCAGGGGCTGCTGGGATACCCCAATGTTTTCCACTGTCCCCCCCCCTCTCTGGCTCCCCTGTCTCTGTTGCTTGGTCTCCTCCTTTCTCCTCCCCCTGGTTTCCCCAGCCAAGCCCCCTTTTCCTCTCCCTTTCTCCCCAATCCAGGCTTCTACGAAGACCCCAGCTCCACAGGAGGTCCTGACTCTCCACCCTCGACCTTCTGTGGGGACAGTGGCTTCTCTGGATCTGGCTCCTATGGACGCCTGGGTCCCTCTGAACCCCGGGGCATCTATGCCAGTGAGAGGCCCAAGTCCCTAGGTAAGGTGGGTGGGTGGGGCCCCGACAGCCAGGGAAATGACCGTGAGAAGATGGTCTTGAGCACACTTCTGAGTCAAACCAACCTGAATTCGAATTCTGGCCGCGACATTCCCTTTCGCGTGGTGTTGAGCCTGTCGCTTCTCTCTGGGCCTCTGTTTCTCCATCCGTTCAAATGGGGTCAATAGCAGCGCCTGCCTCCTGGGGAACCTTTGAGTATTCAGCGAGCCTCGGCCTCAGGCATTGAACTCGGCACAGAGAGCCTCTCAGTCATCAGGAACTGCTGCTGTTCATTTACACCAGTTCCTGCGCCCCGACTGGGTGCTGTCCTAGCCCTGTCCTGGGCGTGAGGGGTACAGCAATGAAAAAAGCCCTGTCCTCACAACTGACACTCTAGTGCAGGGGTCCTCAAACTACGGCCCGTGGGCCACATGCAAATACAAATATTGTATTTGTTCCCCTTTTGTTTTTTTTACTTCAAAATAAGATATGTGCAGTGTGCATAGGAATTTGTTCATAGTTTTTTTTTTAAACTATAGTCCGGCCCTCCAACCGTCTGAGGGACAGTGAACTGGCCCCCTGTTTAAAAAGTTTGAGGACCCCTGCTAGTGGGTGAAACAGGTAACATACAAGATAAGTAAGTGTACTACATGGGGTATTAGACATTGACAAGTGCAATGAAAAGGAAACTGGGGAAGGGGACTAGGGCATGTCACTCTGAGTTGGGGAGAGAATCGCAATTCTACAAAATATGCTCAGAGACTGTGACATTTGAGTGGCACCACGAAGTGAGGGAGTGGACCAATCAGGTTTCCCGGGGGAAGAGCATGGCAGGAACTGGTAACAGCAAGTGCAAAGGCCCTGAGGCAGAGTGCGACTGGCCTCTGCATCGGAGGTCACTCTGGCTGGAGACCTATAACCGTGGAGGAGCGGGTTAGAGGCGGAGGTCAGCGAGCAGAGCAGGGCAGGTCACGCAGGGCTTTGCAGGCTGCTGTGAAGATGTTAAGAACCGGAAACAAGGGGAGGGGTGGGGGCAGGGCTCCTTCCCTTCCACTTTGCCTTTCCTTTCCTATTTTATTTCTTTTATTTTATTTTTTCTTCCTTTCCTTTCTTTGTGATGGGAATGGGACATGGTGGGGAAATGCCCCTGTAGGCGCACTGGGAAGGGGCTTGAGAGCCTCTCCCACTCTTCCTTTTACATGTTGCTTCCTCCACCAGGAGACGCCAGCCCCAGCGCCCCCGAGGCGGCGGGAGCCCGGGCACCAGTCCCGCGGTCCTTCTCGGCGCCCTATCCGACGGCAGCGGGGTCTGGGGGCCCGGAGACCGGCTCCTCAGCGGAGCGGCGGGCCCGCGCGGGGCCCTTCCTGACGCCCAGCCCCCTGCACGCCGTGGCGCTGCGCAGCCCGCGGCCCTGCGGCCGTCCAGCGGCGGACTCGCCCGACGGCCCGGGCGCGGGGCGGCCCCTGGACGGCTACATCTCGGCGCTCCTGCGCAGGCGCCGCCGCCGGGGGGCGGGCCAGCCCCGGACGAGTCCCGGGGGCGCGGACGGGGGCCCGCGGCGCCAGAACAGCGTGCGCCAGCGGCCGCCCGACGCGTCCCCGCCCCCCGGAGGCGCGCGGCCCGCGCCCGAGCCCCCCGTGGAGCGCGCGGGGGGTCGTCCCGCGAGCCCCGCCGCCCTGGGCCGCCCCTGGGCCTCGCCGTGGGAGTCGGAGGCGGCGCCCGAGCCCGCCGCGTCGCCCGCCGCCCCCTCGCCCCCCGACAGCCCGGCGGAGGGCCGCCTGGTGAAGGCGCAGTACATCCCGGGCGCGCAGGCGGCCACCCGGGGCCTCCCCGGCCGCGCGGCCCGCCGCAAAGCGCCGCCGCTGACCCGGGGCCGCAGCGTGGAGCAGTCCCCGCCCCGGGAGCGCCCCCGGGCCGCGGGCCGCCGCGGACGCATGACGGAGGCCTCGGGCCGCAGGGGCTCGCCCCGGGCGCGCAAGGCCGCGCGCTCCCAGTCGGAGACCAGCCTGCTGGGCCGCGCCGCCGCGGCTCCTCCGGGGCCCCCCAAGTACCCGACGGCGGAGCGCGAGGAGCCGCGGCCCCCGAGGCCTCGCCGGGGCCCGGCACCCACGCTGGCCGCGCAGGCCGCGGGGTCCTGCCGCCGCTGGCGCTCCACGGCCGAGATCGACGCCGCCGACGGGCGCCGCGGCCGCCCCCGCGCCCCCGCCGCCCGGGGCCCCGGCGGTCCCGGCCCCTCCCCGTCCGCTCCTCCGCGCCGGTTGCTCTACGGCTGCGCGGGCAGCGACTCCGAGTGCTCGGCGGGGCGCCCGGGGCCCCTGGGACGCCGGGGTCCGGCGGGCGGCGTGGGCGGCGGCTACGGCGAGAGCGAATCCAGTGCCAGCGAGGGCGAGTCGCCCGCCTTCAGCTCCGCCTCCAGCGACTCGGACGGCAGCGGGGGCCTCGTGTGGCCGCAGCAGCTGGTGGCCGCCACCGCGGCCTCGGGGCCGGCAGGGGGTGCGGGTGGAGGGGCGCCCACCGGCCCCGCCAAAGTCTTCGTGAAGATCAAGGCTTCCCACGCGCTCAAGAAAAAGATCCTGCGTTTCCGCTCGGGCTCTCTCAAGGTCATGACTACAGTGTGAGTTCGGGGTGGGCTGTGCGCGCCCTCCATTGCCTCTGCACCACCACACTCCCCGTCGCCGGCCCTTCAGCGCCTCCCTTCCAAAGACCACCGTTTTCTTGGCTTCCAAAGACCCTCCCTCGCTGCCCCCTCCGCTGAGGTCCTGGTTGAAAAGGCTCCCCTCCACCAGAGGGAGGAATTGGGGGGGAGCCCTGTTTGACCCCCTTCAGCTGGCGGCCCGGTTCTGCAGCCCGTGGGCAAGAAGGTCCCCTCCCTCTGAACCCCACTTTCTTCTTCTGTACTATGGGTACACTATGGTATGCTGAAGGGGGAATTCAGTGTGAATTTCCCCGTTTAGTTTAGACACTTAGTCTGTTTGATGCCCTTCACTGCTCTCACGGAGCCCTCTTATTCCTCCTTTCCATGCCCGGATATGGCCCCCTCATACACAAAATGCCCCCCATCCATGTCTCTGGATCCCTAGGATTTCCCCTTGGCACATGGCTGGAGACTCTGTCTGACCCAGGCGGTGCCTGCGGAGTGCCCTGGGAAGGCAAGGAGCACTGACTTTGGGGTTTTGAGGGTCGAATAGGAGTTGATAACACCGGGGAAGAACTCTTTCATCTCCATCCATGGACAATTATGGAGGACTGAGAAGTGGAAGAGGGGAAGGAAGATGGCTTCTATCTTGTGACCCCCTCCCTGGTGAGAGGGAGTGGGGGAGCTCAGGATGACCCTCAGCTGTTCCAATCCAGTATTTTTTTTTCTTTTTCAAAATTACTGTATTTATTATGACGATGGTGACTCCCCGGTGCACAGGGGGGCCAGATTCTGTGTGTTTCTCTAACCTCTTTGTAAATAAATGTACAATGTTACTTATGTGGTGGGCTCTACTTCTGTGTTAGAATGGGAGACGTGCTTTCCCTTTGGACTGACATTTATGAAGCGATTGTTGTTTGCTGTGGATGTGGCAGTGCCCTGAACCAGATGGCAGATGCCAGGTTGGTCTCAGCATCATTTTCCTACCATTGGCCATTTTACCTCAGTGAAGCTGGCCTTCGATGGAGTTTTGTTTGGCCATAAAGATGGTTTCATAAAAGCAGAAACAATATAGGTAAAAGGACAGTCCCAAATCCCCTTTCTCAGAAGTCATTGTAATCAGTTTGGTATGCATCCCCCTCATGTTTTCCCTTTATGTGTTTGCATACATATATGGTTTTAGTAACCATGTAAATATAACTATATATGTGCATCTAGATATTGTTATACTGTATATGTAAAACTATAGTTACATACATTGAACTATATGTATGCATTCTTTTAAAAAATATATTTTTTATTGATTTTTTTTTTTCTTACAGAGAGGAAGGGAGAGGGATAGAGTTAGAAACATTGATGAGATGCCCTAACCGGTTTGGCTTAGTGGATAGAGCGTTGGCCTGTGGACTGAAAGGTCCCAGGTTCGATTCCGGTCAAGGACATGTACCTTGGTTGCGGGCACATCCCCAGTAGGAGGTGTGCAGGAGGCAGCTGATCGATGTTTCTCTCTCATCAATTCTAACTCTCTCTCCCTCTCCCTTCCTCTCTGTAAAAAATCAATAAAATATATTAAAAAAAAAAAAAGAAACATCGATGAGAGAGAAACACTGATCAGCTGCCTCCTGCACACTCCCTACTGAGTATGTGCCCGCAACCAAGGTACATGCCCTTGACCGGAATGAAACCTGGGACCCTTGAATCCGCAGGCTGACGCTCTATCCACTGAGCCAAACTGGTTAGGGCTATGTATGCATTCTTTATCAATTTTTTTTTTTTTTTTTTGTTAAGTCATCTGTGCCTGGAGATTTTATGGGAAAGATTTTCATTACTAACTGAATTTCTTCGATGGGTACAGTACTATTAAGCTTTTCTATTTCTTCCCGTGTCAGTTTGGCTAAGTGGTGTTCTTCTAGGAATTTTTCCATTTAATCTAAACTTAGATGACATATATTCCTATTATTGCTTTAGCTGCATGAGAGTCCACTGTAGGGAGTCCCATAATCTAACCCGACTGTCAGCTCTCCAGTTCCTTTGCTATTATGGCCCTTGCTGCAGTAATGTCCTTGTAGGAGTCTCTTTGTGCTTTTGTGTATGACTGTCTGTAGGATCCACTCCTAGAAATAGAATTGCTTCGTCATTATAGTCTGATCATTTAAAAACTTGAAAAAAATGCTCACCTAAGGAGATTATATATATATATATATATATATATATATATAGGCTAATCCTCACCTGAGGATATTTTTCCATTGATTTTTACTAGAGAGTGTGGAAGGGAGAGGGAGAGACACACAGAGAGACACACACATTGATTGGTTGTCTCCCACATGCTCCCCAACCAGGACCTTAATGGAGCCCGCAACCAAAGTATGTGCCCTTGACCGGAATCGAACCCAGGACTCTTCAGTCTGAAGGCCAATGCTCTATCCACTGGGCCAAGTCGGCTAGGGCCTGAGGATATTTTTTCCATTGCTTTTTTAGACAGAGTGGAAGAGCGGAATGGTGGGGGTAGAAGGGAGAGAGAGAGGAGAGAGAGAGAGGGAGAGAGAGAGAGGGAGAGAGAAACATTAATGTGAGAGAGGCACATCAATTAATTGCCTCTGGTGCACAGACTGTGGAAGGGGGTGGGGGGAGCAGGGGTTGGGTGGGAAGGGGGCGGGATCAAACCACAAGGGAGGTACTGTGCCCTTGACCTTAACTGGGAATCAAACCCACAGCCCTTCTGTGTGAGGGCTGACATTCTAACCACTGAGGAACACCAGCCAGGGCTCATTTAAAAACTTTCAAATTAAAAAAAAAATTTTTGTTGTTAATCCTGAGGATATTTTTCTATTGATTTTTAGGGAGAGTGGAAGAGAGGGGAAAGACAGAGAGAAACATTGATGTGACAGAAACACATCAATTGGTTGCCTCCTGCACGAGTCCTGACCAGGGCGGGGCAGGGAGGAGCCTGCAACCAAGGTATGTGCCCTTGACCAGAATTGAACCCGGACCCTTTGGTCCACAGTCTGACGCTCTGTCCACTGAGCCAAACCGGTTAGGGCTAGAAACTTTTTTTAAAAAATATATGTTTTTATTTATTTTGAGAGAGAGAGGCATAGAGAGAAACATCAATGAGAGAAACATCAACTGGCTGCCTCCTGCACACCCCCTACTGGGGATCGAGCTAGCAACCAAAACCCAGGCACATACCGTGATGGGGAATCAAACAGGTTATCTCTTGATTCCTGGGTCGATGCTCAGCCACTGAGCAACACTGGCAGGACCCATTTAGAAACGTTTCATTGGCACGGCCACACTTCCTTTCACTGAGACTGCCCTCAACTGACATTTGCAACAGCGCCCGGCTGGTGTGGCTCAGTGGTTGAGCCTTGACCTATGAACCAGGTCATGGTTGATTCCCAGTCAGGGCACATACCCGGGTTGGAGGCTGGATCTCCAGAAGGGGGCATACAGGAGGCAGCCAGTCATCACTGAGCGAAACATCATTGATGTTTCTGTCTCTCTATCCCTCTCCCTTCCTCTCAGAAATCAATAAAAATGTGTTAATATATATATATGTATTAAAAAAAAACACACAGCTATTTTTAAGATGCCTGTTTTTCCACTCCTTTCCCGAACAATGGTTTGAGAACTGTTGTTTTAATTAGCATGTCTCCCTCCCTGTTTCCTAATGAAATACATCTTTTTGTTTGCTTATTGAACCACTTGTGTTTCTTCTGCGAATTAATTGCCTGCTCACATCCTTTGCCCCTTTTCTATTGGGTAAACCCAAAAGTTATACTAATTTCAAGGCTGGATTAACAGAGGCTCAGAGAGGGGCCATCACTTGCCCTGGTCACACAGCAAGAGGGAGGCCCCCTTCCCCCCAAAAAAGAGGGACCCAACTGCCACCAAGTCCAGGTCTGAAGGGTGGGTATTTGTTGTTACTTTGACCTTTGTGCCTACATGGGTGGGTCCACCTCTCTGTCCCTTTGAGATCTGAGAAGCGGGGACCAGACCTACTGTGTGCCTCTGAATCTCTCCTGCTCAGTAGGGCCCTGTGGACACCGCAAGGAACAGAAGAGAAAAGTCTCTGGCCTGTGGAGCTCCCATTCTATGTGTGCAGATAAACATGTGTTTCTTTTAGAGTATAATAAATCAAAGTTATTTTTAAAAGTTTGTCAGGCCCTTGGGAATATTCGCCCATCTCCATTCTATGAAAGAGGCAGCCGAAGCCAGAAAGGGGAAGGGACTTGTCTACGCAGGTCACTCACTGGTCAAATGGTTGCAGTAAAAATGGATGACCTCCCTTCCTTTCTAGCTTGCTAGGGTTTGCTGTGAAAAAGAACAGCTAGCACGCCTGGCGCCCATGCCAGACTCTATTCTCAGCACTTTATATACGAGTTTAATTCGTTCCGTGACGGAGCTCGTAACTCAAATTACTCGTATGTCAAATCAATTTTCACCATTACAATGACACATGATGCTGGGCTGATGTTGTGGCGTTCACTGTGACGTTCGCTGCGCCAACTAGCGGTGGGATATCTGAAGCTGGCTTGTAACCCGAATTTTAGCTCGCAACTCAAAGCAAAAAATTGGCCGAGGTATCTCGAAAAACTCGTTAGTCGGGACACTCGTAAGTCAAGGCCCCACTGTATATTGACTCATTTAATCCTCACAACCTCCTGGGGTGAGATACTGTTATGATCCCATTTTACAGATGGAGAACGGAGGCATGGAGCGGTTAAGTAGCTTACCCGAAGCTCAAATAGCAAAGTCGGAATTTAAGTTCCGGTTGCCTACGAGTTCAGGCCCTTAACCACTGTCCTGCATAGTATATTTGCAAATGGATTGTCTCTGGAAGGATATACAAGGAACTGGTCACAGAGATGGAAGCTGGGTGGGGAGGGGAGTTGACATAATAAATAATTAAATTTTATAATCTTTTCAAGGTGGCAAGGCCTTGGCCAGTGTGGCTCAGTGGTTTGAGTGTTGGCCAGTGCACCGAAGGGTTGCAGGTTCGATCCCCGGCCCTATCAGGGTGTGTGCAGTAGGCAACCAATTGATGTGTCTCTATCAAATTAATGTTTCTCTCTCTCTGCGCCCCCCCCTTTTCCCTCCCTCGCACTCTTGCTAAAAACGAATGGAGCCCCAACCAGTTTGGCTCAGTGGATAGAGCGTCGGCCTGCGGACTGAAGGGTCCCAGGTTCGATTCTGGTCAAGGGCATGTACCTTGGTTGCGGGCACATCCCCAGTGGGAGATGTGCAGGAGGCAGCTGATCGATGTTTCTCTCTCATCGATGTTTCTGACTCTCTGTCCCTCTCCCTTCCTCTCTGTGAAAAATCTATAAAATATATTAAAAAAAAAAAAAAAACAATGGAAAAAATATCCTCATGCCCGGCCAGCATGGCTCAGGGGTTGAGCATTAACCTATGAACCAGGAGGTCACAGTTGGATTCTGGGGTTGTGGGCTCCATCCCCAGTGGGGGGCGTGCAGGAAGCAGCCAATCAATGATTCTCTCTCATCATTGATGTTTCTATCTCTCTCTCTTCCTCTCTGAAATCAATTATATATATAAAATCCTTGAGTGAGGATTAACAAAAATGAATAAATAAATAAAAATAAAGGTGGTAGGACGATGAGGGAGCACTGAGCAGAGCCATGAGGGGACTGAGTGGGCTGGGGAGCTGAGCAGTCTGTCATTTGAAGTTGAGTGATCAGGGATGGTCTAACTGGGAAGGTGACATTTAATCAGAGACCTGAAGGAGGAGTGAGGCTGCGGAGACCTCGGGGAAGAATATCCCAGGCAGAGGGGTCTGCCGGTGCAAAGGCCCTGAGGCCAAAACGGTGCC